ATGTTTATAATTTACATGTCCCAGTCTATTATGTCATAACACAGATGAGTAAGCAGAAGAGCATATTTCATTTATAACTGAGTTGGGTACAATAGTACTAATCTTATACATGTCATTAATACGATATGCATTTTCAAAATATATTTTCTTAAAAGATAGTACAACCTTTCATTCTTGGAAATTTAGCTTCATACCTACGTCACATAGGAGGCTTCCCGAGACTAAGTTTTTAGCAATTGAGGGAACATGTTTCACATCCTTCAATGTGAGAGTCTTCCCTGAAGAGAGAGTCAGAACCATAGTCCTAGTTCTAAGAACAGATACTATAGAACAATCAGTTATTGATACGTTCTCTTTGGTAGCAACATAAGAAAATAACAAGTCTCTGTTTGAGCAAACATGACAGGTAGCACCTGTGTCTAATCACCAACCAGAGATGTTGTTGGGAGTTATCACCTGAAATAGCATAGCCACACAATTGTTAACTTGATTAACATTATATGTTGTTCCCTTTTTTGGTACTTTGCAGTCCTTGACAAAATGTCCTTGATTCCTACAGTTGAAGTATTTGCCTCTCTTCTTGAACTCTTTTTTCTGAACATTTAGATTCTTCGGGTTTTGGTTCTTCTTTTTGTTAAATGATTTCCTTTTCTTTTTGGAAGAAGAACTAGTGTCCTTCTCAGAGTTAGCAGCCACTATGTTAGCAGACGTCTTCTGCTTAGTAAGGATCTCATTCTTCGTGTGAGTCTGAATCTCATCCTCGATCCAAATGAATATCTTCAAATCAGACATAGTTAAATGTCTTTTTTTCTCCGAATGTCAGTGGAGAATGACATCCAAGATGGAGGAAGCTTATTGACAATTGCACCAGAAATAAAGGTTTGACAAAGATTGATCTTTTCATCCTTCAGCTTCATAACAAGCTTTTCAAGCTCTTCGACTTGAGGTAGAACCTCGGTGTCATCTTCGAATTTAAAGTCCAAAAACTTAACAATGAGGTGAGACTTGAACAGCTTCTCCTCATCCTTATACTGGTCCTCCAAAGCATTCCAGATTTCCTTTGCAGAGGTCTTATTGGTGTAAGCATCTGCTAAATGATCGGTCATGAAGTTAAGGAGATAACTCCTACAGAAGTGATTATCTCTAGCCCAAGAGACCTTAGACTCAAAATCTTCTTCAGATTCGAGTTTCTCCTCAGAAACCACATAGTAGATTTTTAGGAGTTGCATCCCAAAAATCACTTTTCGACATCATGTATTAAAGTTAGATCCGTCAAAGTTCTCTAACTTAAGACAGTCCACTCCAAGTGTCATTGTAGGATCTATTGTACATCAAAAATATTGCTTTAAAATTATTGGCGCATGTGGCTAAATCTGAAATAAAACAGATAAATTTGTTAGATAATTGAAGTGCTATATTTTTAAAAAATTTCAAATTTAGCTGATATGCGTTTATGAAACACGGTGCTTAAAGCAATATTTGGCCTACTCCGGTGTAAGGATCCTAAGGCCAAATTGCTTCCAGGAACAGCTATACAGTATACTGGTATGCACCGACCAAGTAATGTCAAGATCTCCTCGATCTATAAGATCTTTCGGTCAATGCAAAGATCTCCTCGATCTGTTAAACCTTTTGGTTCAAAATCTTTGGGTTAAAACATTTATGTTCAGGCAAAGATCTCCTTGATATGTTAAAAATTTTTGGTTCCAAACAGTTCAGTTCAAGAAAATATCTTTCGATCTGAAAAACCTTTCGGTTCAGGGCTATGTCCTTCAGGCACAGACTAAAGCTTACACACTTTCAAACTCTGCAGCAGCACAACAGCTCAATAGATTCAATACTTCAATGTGTTCGAGTATCCCCGAGTGCTGCCCCAAGGGGTACTATTTATAGGCCTCTAAGGCCAGCTCAAGAGTCACAAACAGTCATAAATATGACTGTTAGAAATCATAACGACAATTATGATTGTAACAGCAAATAAGTTAATTGTTGTATCTGCTGCATGCAGACTTAATTACTGTATGTAGTAATGCTTGAGCGCGGGGTTCACGTTTCTACGTAATGCGAGGATCTAATCGAGACTCGCGAACGCAAGGGTCACATTCCCTCTCACAAACACGAGGGTCGCACCTCGTGTGAACGCGAGAGTCGTGTCCTCTTGCTGCGAAGCCGCCTGCGAGGCGGCCACAGTGGCAGCCAACGATGTCTCCATGCGAAGTGCAAAGTACGCCTTACAAAGCGTCACTTAGCGCCTCAGCCCGATTAGCCCAGATCCCTGGCCCATTGGCCCACGGGTCAACGGCCCACTAGAACTTATGAGGGATTAATTGAATAAAAATAATTCTCGGATTACCATTGGCAAGCCTCGAATACAAGACCTTTTGAAACACCAAAACTTTAAATTTATGCTACGCTGCCAAGGATTTCTGAAAAATACTAATAATTAACAAATACATAGTTTGAAAACTCATTTTTTTGGAAAGCGGTTATCTAAAAAGAAATAGAAGCAACGGTCATGCTTTCTCATTCTTTAATTTTTCTGTTAATTTCTTATTATGTAAAATTTTAGTAAAGATTAATGAATATAATATATAAAAATGTTAGGACCACAATCTCAACCACACCTCCTCTCCCTCTATAGTGCATTGGGCTCCACATCAAATTTTTTAAAAAAATTTGATGTGAGACCCAATATACTATAGAGGGAGAGGAGATATGATGGAGGATTTGATTGAGGTGTGCCCCTAGCACCACTCTATAATATATTATATGAAGGGATTCTCTCGCATGTAAGAACGTTGCTCAATTTGCATTGATTATTGTTATGAGATTTCACTATTCTCTTTTTGACTTAGTGCAGATAGAGCCACGTTATTGCCAAATCGAGAATCTCCCCATATTACAATGATACGTATTATTCTCCTGTTATTAATTAAGTAGGCATTTCCCAATGCAAACGGCGAGGTAAATTGAACTTGATACTAGGGGCATTCTCATCATTTCAACTTGGCTAGAAAACGGCGCTTAATTCCATCACGAGGCATGTCACGAAGATAACTGACGGCTATTTTCCAGCTTCGTACAAAAAACAAACAGAAGTGACCATGTCCTTCTCAATTATTTCTGCCCTTTTGCAGTTTTGTCTTGTCCTTTTCTTGAAATTACGAATCTCATACGTCACGTTTCCTCAGTTTCAACTCCATCCGTGTCCGTTTTCGTTACGGAACGGGTCTTCAGACGAGAAGACGCATCAAACTCTTGGCATCACCTCTTTATTGTTTTTGTCGTTGTGTAAATTAGCAAAACGGCCCCTCGGTGATCATGTATTGACAGACAATGTGTTCAAATTTGTAGAATTATCTAAAACTTCATAAATTTTCCTAAAATCTACAACCACTTTTGGTCTGTGAACTTGAAATAGAAATGGAGATTCGAATAGCCTTTTTAAGAAGAGATCTGAACCTGCAACTCATTGGTAATAAAGAAGACTAATATTTAGTATGAAAAGCACCAAATCTTTGCCATTAAAGGGTTTTAAAAGATGGTTGACCATTATGATTTCAATTTAAGAAAGGGTTTTTAAATATTTAAGGATAAAAATATATGTAAAACTCTTCCGTAGAATTAATTGCTGAAAATAAAAATTTTGGTTCGCAACTTAACTAAAGAAAAAAAGAAACTAACTAAGTACAAACTCATCCCAATTATAATTGGATAATTTTCAAAATTGCACCACACTCTAGCAAATAATCTTTTAAAAGTACAAAAAATCCTCTATAAGATTTCCTCAGATAACTCCAATAAATTAAAACCAAAAACAACATAAAAAGATATTATGAAGAGTATTGGGGTTTATTATAATTTATTCAAAAGATATTGACTTTCTGCAAAAGTGTTTGGGAGTTTATTGTGATTTTGAAAGTTACTAGGGGTTTTTACTAAATGCTAAAAGTATTTGGGGGTTTATTGTAATTTACCCAAATGTAATTGATTGACTGAAAAACAATCATGATTGTTCGCATCACACGATATTCATGTTCGTCGCTGGTAGAGCATTTATTTGTTATGAACGGTTGAATAATATAGTTTTTAAATCATTCTGCTAATCAATCAAGAATCAAGATAGAGAGTGCATGTGACTTCTTAGTACATCGTATATTAATCTTCGGGGGACCTCAAATAGGGGATTCAATAGGGTGACTGGTGAGCTGTTCCTTTCTGGTTGGATGATGTGTTGTTCATGAACAGCATATCATCCAATCAGAAGGGGATAACTCACCTGTCCCCCATTAGGTCCCCCATTAGGTCCCCTATTTGGGGTCCCTGTAGAAGCGCCCTATAAGTAATGTCTTAAACCTCCGTGCAAGTATGCTTCCAAATTTGTATTGGATAACAGTATTCCTAATCTATTTTGGTAACATTAAGTTATTAGGGATTCCTAATCTATTTTGGTAACATGAGGTTATTAGAATTCCTAATTTGTTTTGTTTTTTGTTTTAGGATTCCTAGTCTGTTTTGGTTTTAGTTTTTTCTATATATATGGAGATTAGAATCAATCATCAAAGAGATTAGGAATACTGTTGAATGATAGCGTTTATGTTGTAAGTGCTATAGATCGTATGTGCCTTATTTTTTGATAGCGTTTGAAAATTTTTAAACGCTATAAGTAATAGTAGGCAATTTTTTTTTGGTTCCGACGGCTTGAAAACTTAAGCGCGAGACTGAAAATTAAAACGACAAAATTTTCTGAGTTTTCTTGGGTTTTTTGGAGAAGATCTTAGCAAGAACCCTGTGGATGGATTCTCGGCCGGCTTGGTCGACGATACCAATATCTTCGAGTAGAGCGTCACGATCATTGGGCCGCCCGATACGCTATAGTGAGTGATTCCTTTCGGATTGCGATATTTTTCGTTGAAATTCGATTGGATCTCGTGGTTTTGGCAATCTAGGGTTGTTTGCTGATGATAAAGTTAGGGTTTTGGTTGAGTTGTTTGGATTCAAGCTGATTCCTTATCTGTTTTGATGTGTATTTCCCTTTGAAAATGCTGATGAAAATGCTGCTGGATATTGAGGATGAGCCAGCGTGGCATTCTGCGGAGGCAGAGGATGAGGATGCAGGGGAGACGAGCAATTACAGTGTCGGACAGGAGTGTTTGGATAGAATCTCAATTGCTCTTGGAGGAAATACAATTGTTCATGTTGCATCGGAGTTGCTGTCGGCTTATATTGCAGCTCTCGAGTGGCAGAAACATCATGTTGCTTTGATTACACTTGCACAGATTGCAGAAGGTTGTTCAAAGGTAACTGGAAGTTTAAATTAATTATTGATTGAGAACTTGGTGCTTTTTTGTAAACATACTATATAGTTTATGCTGTGTCTGTTATGTAGGTCATGATTAAGAATTTGGAGAAAGTGGTGCACATGGTCTTGAACCCATTTCAAGATCCACATCCAAGAGTGAGATGGGCAGCGATTAATGCCATTGGACAGTTTTCTACGGATTTGGGTCTGGATTTGCAAGTGCAGTACCACCAGAGGGTGCTACCTGCTTTGGCATCTGCGATGGATGATTTCCAGAACCCTCGTGTGTAGGCAAGTAAATTCATATTGTTATGAAATCTTATGAAAAGATGTTTGATTGTGAAGCCATAGTTCTTTTCTGATTTATGCCAAAGAGCCCAATGAAATGGTTCATAGCTTTAATAATATTTTATCAAAAGCATAGATAAATTAGGATGACCCAAAATTAGAGGAAGAGACAATAAGACCCCTAGCATGAATTTAAATTGTCAATACTTTGGGTTATACAAATACAACTAACATCACATATTTCATTTCAGTTTATAAAGTGAGCTATAACATGTCCTAGTTTAAATGCACATGTTTATGAAATGATGTCTTCTTCCTTATCAATCTTTTTTTTAAATGCAGGAAACATCTCATCGAAGAACAAGCATGTAAGTTAATACTGCTATTTATTAATATTAAATAATTACTACTCCAGATTGCATTAGTTGACTTTCCTTCATAGTAGAAAAACTTTAGGGAGAGGAAGCATGAATTCCAAAACTTTGTTACAAAGATAATCATTCTGGATTCCATGCTTTAATGGAGGAATTTATGGTTCTTCAAATCCAAGTTCAGGCTAAACCTTTTGGGAGTTTATGCCTTGCTTAAACAAAAAATTCCACGATCCAAGAATGACTTTATTCATCAAATTCAAGTTGATCTGGATCAAGTATTAACGAGGTCCAAGTTATATTTTTCTCACAATCGAGAAGCATTCTCTTCTAATTTAGTTTTTAACATCAAATTTCTGAAGTTTTCATTTTTAAAGTAGATATGATGAGATATGAGTTTAGTGGTTTATAGAAAGGTCAAGAAAGCCTTTTACACAAGTTATTTTCTGGAATTTGGAAATATTACTATATTAAGAGTAACAAAACAATGAGGGAGGCCCTGATTTAGATTCATCCTTGTAGGGATGTGCATGGATGACATAATATTTGTGCCACTATCCCTTTTTGGCTTAGACTTTGTTACTCATAAGTAGTTAGATTGCTATCTTGGGTACCAATTTCAATCACCAATTTTTGTTATAGTAATGTCCAGGAGCATCCCCTTAGAATTTTGACTATGTTCTTTACATTTTGACCGGCTCCTGATTGTCTCTTTTAGATATTCAACACTAATTATTTGACTCAAGATTATCTGATCTCTAATGTAGCCATCCAAGTTCTTGTATTTTGAAATATTACTTTTTGTTATTTTGTAATAGTAGCATATCAAAACAATGATGGAATCCCTAATTGGGATTTATAACTGCAAGGATACGTAGGTGCTTGCATAGTATATGTGCGGTCACTTTGAAGTCATAGCTAGGTAGGTCCTATCTTGGGTACCAATTCCAGTCTCAAATTTTCTTTTTTTTTTCCTTTGGTGGCATGAAGATTCTCTTAGAATTTATATCATTTTCTTGACATTCACACATCTTCACCGTTATCTCATTTGGATGTTCAACACAAGTTATCTGACCCAAGATTATTCATTTTTATGCTAGTTATATAAATTCTAGAATTGTGTAATCTTATGTTCACCTCTGTCTACCACAACTCTCATACCTTGCATTTCGAAGGATATACTCTAAATAGCAGAGAAATTTCTCCATAATAAGTTTATAAGCTTGTTCCAAACTAGTCATCTATTTCATGTCTTAAGGATTAAGCTTTAGATCTCTTGAAGGCAATGCTAAGACCCGAATCAGAATTTCGGGGAGTATGCAAACAGTGGGATACTCTTGAAAGTCTAGCATGGTTCTCCTGTCTTTCTGCTTCCATTAGAAATACTCTTCTAGCATCATATCATTGCTCTATTTTGTCTTCCCCTTATTCTACTTGCTTTGTAAAGTTCTTTTACAGTTTTCTTCTTCAAGTATATTTCCTGATATGAAAAAACCTTAATTTGGCTCATATGAGTTGTTAGGTATCTTGTTAATTTCTACTAAGAGTCTGTTGGGTCTTAGTGCTCACATATCATTTTGTACTTACCTTCATATGTAGAGTTTTCTCCTTAAAGTCTACCTTTGTTTCCAATTCTCATTATGTGATAAAGTTTTTGTTATCTATGCTTTCCAGAAGTTGCTTTCTTTGAATATTGACGTGTGACCTGCTTCTTTATGTTGTCAATATTTTCATTGCCCTTCTGCTGTATTAACTCAACAGGCACATGCTGCTTCAGCTGTTCTGAATTTCAGTAAGAACTGCACACCTGATATTTTGACACCATACTTGGATGGAATTGTTAGCAAATTGCTTGTATTGCTACAGGTACGTAGTTTTACAGTCAAATGTGGGAATAGTTTGCTTCAATGATGTACAAATCTAGTGTGCTTATGTAGCAGCCAGAGACAAGCATGTGCTCCAGCTAATAGAGGAAAATTCTGAATTCCGAAGTAGAATACAACATTTGGAGACTGTGGTCCATAAATTAGTTGGAAATCATCAGGTACATAAGACTCATGTAGATGTAAGCTTTACAGTAAATCTATGATACAATAATATGCAACCTTAATGCAATTATTATTATTACTATTAATTTTTTGTTGTTGTTAGAGAATGCAGAATGAAGAAGATGAAGATGAACAGAATGGGCCCGAAATTGATAAGACTAGTCATAAGGTAAATAAGTTAATTATCTAGCATGTTTCTTTTTGATCGATTATGAGGTATAAAATTTGAAAATTGAATGTGTTATTATCCGGATAAAGTTTTATTTTCTAATTATAGTCTGATATATTGTAGAGTATGTGCCCTAACCACATGACAAGTGCAAGCTTTTAGATTGGTGTGGAACAAATGAGGTTGTAGCAGAAGGACGTTGGTGTTCTAGTGACCCAAAGGAGCTTGTAAATCATGCTCCTCTTAGACCTAATGCAATGGAAGTGATGGTAGACATTCCAAACAAACCAGAAGCTTTTCTTTGGAGGCCTACAAAGACCTAATGCAATGGAAGTGATGGTAGACATTCCAAACAAACCAGAAGCTTTTCTTTGGAGGCCTACAACTAATATGTTCTGTATGCAACAGACATTCCAAACAAACCAGAAGCTTTTCTTTGGAGGCCTACAACTAATATGTTCTGTATGCAACAAGCTGGGACTGTTGTTTATATTTTGATTGTTGATTTCTGTTTTTAGTCCAGGTCTTCATGTTGGATTATCCAAAGACTAGTATTTTTTTTGGCACATTTGTGTTGAACTTTTTGTATGCTACAACTTGGTTATGTATCAGTTTGAACCTTTAAATGAAATATTTGCTTTTATAGTTGTTATAATTGGAAGCTATTTCTAGTTCAATCTCAAAGGTTTATAGGCACAACTGAACTGCTATAAGAAGTGGAAACAATTGCTAAAATGGTATTAAAAAAGAAAGACAGCATTCGTTGAAATGTCATTGTATTAACTCAAACGCTATCAAATGTAAGACAATAGCAGCGTTGAAATGCTATGAATGAAAACTAACTAATAGCATTTTTCAACCGCTATGAAAGATATTCGTCATAGCAATACAGAAACGCTATTGAATACCCTTTTATAGCTACATAAAAACGCTATGGTTGAAACCTTTTTTATAGCATTTGGGGAAGTGCTATGTAAAGCCACATACCTACTATAGCGGGTTCCGACACAACACTGATTAAAACGCTATGAAATAATACCATAGCGTTTTTCGGCCGCTATAGATGATTTCAGGTGTTGTAGTGATTCTCTACAACAAGTATCTTATGAAAAGTGTTGAGAACAGATTGCATTTGCTGTGAAGATTATTCAGATTTTAGATGTCCAGAGGCACCTTGCTTGCGGCTCATGTGAACAACTATATGAAGTTGTTGTCGGACTTGGCGAATGTTGATGAGAAGATATCGGATGAGTACAAGACGATTATTTTATTGGGCTCCTTACCGGATGAGGAGTATGATATATTCGTGCTCACTTTGTTGAATGGGAGATCTTCTATAAGCTACAGTAAAGTTACTAATGCTTTGACGAACTACGATTTGAGGAGGAAGGACAAGGAGACTTCCCATGCTAGTACTTCAGACGAGGCCTTGTCGACGAGAGGTAGAAGCCCATATCCGAAAGGTGGTAATAAAGGAAGGTTAAAGTCAAGAGGTCATCACCAGCTAGGAAAGAACCAATGTACATTCTGCAATGAGCAGGGAAATTGGAAAAGAGATTGTCCAAAGATCAAAGAGAAGGAGAATAGCAAGAAAAATGGCCTGAAGGCCAATGAGGTGAATATTACAAAAGGCAATGATTCCGATGATTCGAGCTTTTCTCTACTGATTACTCCGGAGGTGAACCACTTGGATGCATCAGATTGCTTTTCTCTACTGATTACTCCGGAGGTGAACCACTTGGATGCATCAGATTGGATGCTTGATTCCGATGCTACCTAGGTGAACCACTTGGATGCATCAGATTGGATGCTTGATTCCGATGCTACCTATCATGTGACCCCTAGGCGAGATTGGTTTGCATCTTTTAAGAAGCTCGATGGGGGAGTTATAGTCATGGGAAATGATCAGTCTTGTGGCATTTGTGGGATAGGTACCGTGTGGATCCGGATGCACGATGGAGTAGTTCGTGAATTGAAGGAGGTAAGATTTGCTCAACTGAAGAAGAATCTTATTTCTATTGGAGCTTTGGAGGCGAAAGGATTCAAGGTGACCTTTGAGGATGCTGTAACGAAGGTTACTAAGGGATATTTGGTGGTGATGAAGGGATTCCGCAATTAAAACATGTATTATCTGAAGGGGAACACCGAGATTGGCCAGGTTGCTTTGGCTATTTTAGAGACGGACATGAGTAGACTTTGGCATTATAGGTTGGGGCACACAGGAGAGAAGTCACTACAGGTGCTGTGCAAGCAGGGGCTATTGAAAGGAGCCAAGAGTGATAAAGTGGAGTTCTGTGAGCACTGTGTACTTGGTAAAAAGACGAAGGTGAAGTTTGGGATGGCCATTCATAGGATGAGGGGCATCCTAGACTACGTGCACACAAACGTTTAGGGTCCTACCAAGATTGCATCACTTGTTGATCGATATTGGTTCGTCACGTTCGTAAATGACTATTCTAGGCATTGTTGGATGTACACCATGAAGCATAAGAATGAAATCCTAGATTTTTTTGTGGAGTAGAAGAAGAGATTAGAACTGCAGACTGAGAGAAAGATCAAGACGTTGTGATACGACAACGGCGACGAATACAATTCAGACCCCTTTCAGCAATTATGTCGAGACGAGGGTATAGAGATGTACTTCACAGTTAGTCATACACCACAGCAGAATGGGGTGGCAGAAAGCCTGAATTGATCTTTACTAGAAAAGGTCCGATGCTTATTGACGCATAGTGGTTTAGAGAAGATCTTTTGGGCTGAGGCAGTTTCATATGCGAGCCATCTTATTAATAGACTGCCTTCATCTGTGATTGAGGAGAAGACCCATATGGAGAAATGATCAGGAGAGCCAGCATGAGATTATGACCAACTTAAGGTATTTGAGTGCCCTATATTTTATCATGTGAGAACAGATAAATTAGAACCTTGAGCTATGAAGGTTATATTTATAGGATTCAAGCGTGGTATCAAGGGATACAAGCTATGAGATCCAGTTGATAGGAAGATTGTACTGAGTAGAGATGTCACATTTGATGAGGCTTCTATTTTAAAGCTTCCTAGCTCTTATCAGGTGGAGAGCGACCCGACAGATGACATATCTATAGAACCCCGTAATTTTTATATGAATATATGTGAATTATTAGTAAATAAATAATTCTTTTATGATAAATAGCTTGAGGTCATTGATGTACATGATAATAAGTTATTTGAGATGATATGATTCTTTTATGATAAATAGCTTGAGGTCATTGATGTACATGATAATAAGTTATTTGAGATGATATGAAAGTATGGGTGTAGAGTTTTGTGCGTTGGTTTTGCAAATAAGCAAAACATGTACAAAACTAAAATTTTCCAGATCAGTCGACACATGAGTTGACTGGTACGCTGATTTCTAGTTTTTACAGGTTTCGGGTCTGTTTTGATTTGGTTCGGGTTTGGGTCGGGTTTAGCTGTTCATATATATTCTCCTTCATCCGAAATCATCCCCTCTCATCTTCAGATCAGAGAAAACCCTAGCCCCTCTCCCCTATCTCAAACCCTAGCTTTGTTCTTGGTGATTTGGGGAAGAACTTGGAGGATTTTCGTCGAAATCTTCACGTTGCAGCGAAGGGGAACCACTCTCTCTCAGATCCAGGAGTTTCTCATCACCCCAGAGGCGAGTAACATCTCGCCCAATCTTGTCCTATTTTTTCTAAATATTTTCAAATGGTTTTCATGAGTTTTGATGAGCCAAAAATGATATTTTTGTACAAAGGATTGATTTTTATAGCATATAGAGGGAAGATACGTTATTTCAGAATGTTAAAAACCCACCAACGTTTTGTGAATCGAAGATCTAGATCTGAAATGTTTTTATAAGAGATTTAACATGAGTTTTGTTTTAAAAATGTTTTAAAACATGAATACACATGTTTAGGGTTTTGTTTATGTATTTGTACATGAAAGTTATGTTTCAGTTTAGTTCATACATGTTAATATCAGTATTTTTCATGTTTGGGATTGATGGGGATGAGTTTAGATAAATTTTTGTGTGAATAACAACCTGTGCAGAGTTTCTACAGTCCATCGGTCGACTAATCAGTCGACCGATGGGCTAAAATTTTAGTCATCAGTCGACTGATCAGTCGACTGACGGGTTGATTATGTTTTCTCAGTTCCTCAGTCGTTTTTCACAGTTACACAGTCCTCGTGTTGGACTATAATCCATAGAAGTCCTCGTGTTGGACTATAATCCATTTTTGTCCTTGTGTTGGACATTTGCCACTTATTCCATGTGTTTGGAAACCACAGTATCTAGTTCCTATATCGGATATATTTCTTAACCCTGTATATGACTTTCTCACAGGAGTTTATGACATGACACTTATGTAGATTATGACATGATATTCATGTAAGTAATAACATGATACTCATGTAGGCTATGACATGGCACTGTATTTATGCTCTGAGATAAGTTGTATTTCCATTATTATTGTTCATGTACTAGAACCTCAGGTTTGGTGTTTAGAGATTTACAATTTGAGATACAAGGTATATACATGAGGGTTTCCTTGTTTGGATTATTTCGCTCGACGTACCTATGCTCGTGTTGTAAATTTCTAAATACTAAAACCCTCTTTAGTAAGATCAATGATTTTAGATCTATTATGTATTATCTGTATTTTCTTATACAACGAGCCATGTTCCCTTGGGGTTGGTTGTGATGTTGCTCGCTAGCGCTTTGACGCTCGTTGTCCCTCCCCCTTTCAGTTAACGAGCCAGGAGCCCGGAGAGTCGTAAGGAGCCCAGTGAGTTTCGGCTCAGTGAGCGGTCGACCGGAGGGGTCTCTGCGGTCGACCGCCGCACTGTTTGTTTTACCCTGTTCATTTTTGTTGAACCTTACACTTGTTGTCCCTCCCCCTTTCAGGTAACGAGCCAGGAGCCCGGAGAATCGCAGGATGAGGGCGACCCTTACTAGTGCCTATTTATCCTCTTATTAGATGTATTTTATTTTGTACTCCACTTGAGACATTTTTCGACTTAAGAGGTTTATGTTCTAGAGTTGTAAAGGCTGTGTGCCTTATTTCCTGTATCAGATATTATGTACTTTGAGACATGTTGAGATCTCCAGATCATTGTTATTCATTTCAGACTTTGACTATGTATTCCAGTTTATTTGGTTGAGGAGATGTGTTAATTTGATCTCTTTCATTTCGCTAGTATTTCTTGTATTATATTTTACTTGCTTTTGTACCTACACCTATTGTTGACTCTACTAGATAGATGTTAATTGTGATGGTGAAACATGTTATTGCACGGTGTGGTGCATGGCAGGTTTGAC